TAAAGACAATCCCCCCTCCTCCCTCTCTCTCTCTCCCTCTCTCTCTCTCTCTCTCTCTCTCTCTCTCTCTCTCTCTCTCTCTCTTCTCTCATTTAACCATTGGAACTCTTCCTCTATCTACTGCCAATGGATTCCCTCCACAGGGATTATTCTTTGAAACTCTAGACTATAAAAACATGCTGTGTTCAACAGTTCTGTTACCATTCTGAAGTTCTGGAAGCTGGGTAACTCAGGAAGAAAGCACATTTGTATAGCTCATCATTCTGGAGGTTCAAGGGCATGGTGCCAGTCTCTACCAAGGTGATGATACCACCACAATGATAGACCATGTATGAGAGGAAGAGATCACATCCCAACACAGGAAGCCAGAAAGAAGTTCAAGGACTGGGCTCACTCTTCTATAACAACTCAGTCTCTTGAGAATTAATTTGATTCCATCATAAGTGCCTCAGTCCCTTCCAAAGGCAGTGCCCCCCATGATCTATCTAGTACCTCACAACGTTGTCACAATATGAAGCAAACTTTCTGCACTTGAAACTTTGAGGAGCACATTCAAACCATACCCAGGTGACAGTAGAGACCGTGGAGGATTACTCACAATGAAATGTGTGGTACTGTCAGCCTTCCCTATTCAGACTGTTCTAGCACTTCAGCAAGCACTAGGGGAAAGCAAACTTGGGAGTTTGGAAGATCAAACTGGAGACCTCTAGGAGAAAGAAGAGGCTGAAATACCCCACATCATCCAAGCAGGCTTCTTGGAGGAAGCAAGGTTGAGCTCGGTAATGAGGATGAACCAGTTCACACAGGCAAAGATGGGGAAACTCAAGCACATTGTGGGCTGAGGGACAGAGGAGCAGGGGCAGTGGACCATGAACAAAGGGGACTTGGAAGGTGTGCACTGTGGCAGAGCCTTGAATTCTGGCCTGAAGACTGATAACCTGTTGAAAGTTGGTTAGGGCAGGAGTAGGAGAAAATAACCATTTAAAATGTTTAGAAATTGGCAATATCCACTGGAAAATCACATTTATTTCAATTTTTTTTTGATGGCAGCCCTACCTGCCATCTCACTGACAGAGGAAGTGATCTGTGACCGGTGTGCTCTGGGCTACTCAGGAGCCTGGTGTGAGAGGTATTTACTCTGTGTTCCCCAGTTTCACTGAACAGCATTAGTGCTATTTTTTAAAATTCAGTGTAAATGCTATGTTTTAGTTTTAAACATTTACAGTTGTTTCAGTGTTAATTGACGCATGGTAATAGCCTATGCCCTGTAGGAATGATGTGATAATTCAATGTATGTATACAATGTATAGTGATGAAACTCTTCATAGATGTAAAATGTAGTCTTGAAGTTATGGAGCATTATTATTTCATGAGCTCATAAAGAAAGCCAGCATATCCACCGAGAGCAGTGTTCTATCCCCTGGAGTTCATCAGAGTTCACATCAAGGACAGTAGGGAAGAGGAGTCAGTAGTTACCGTTCTCACATGTCTTAGCATTCAGTTCAGATAACAGTCACTGTGGTAAGTGGCTTGATTTAATAGTCATCTTCTGGCACCCAAAAGCCAGTATTGTCCTTTCCCACGCATAAGTCTTGGTGGCTAGCTCTGGCTCAGCCTGTCAAGAGCTGGGTGACATTGTGAGTGGTTGGATGCGGTGCCTATCCACTGGATTGATGACTTATTTTGGATCTGCTCCCATCTCACAATAGGTGAGGAAGACCTGTGAATGCTTGAATGGGGATGCAGTTATTTTCCATAGTAAATCTTACAGAAGAGACCCAGTGTGATTTAATAGCCACATGGAGAGTCCCTGGCTAGTGGGCTAATGTCTTGAGTAATTGCATTTATTTGATCCTGCTTTCCATGTTGGATATAGATGTGCAGATGGTTACTATGGAAACCCAACAGTGCCAGGGGGATCCTGTCTACCATGTAACATGCAGTGGCAATGTTGATCCATTCGAGGCTGGCCACTGTGACTCTGTCACCAGGGAGTGCCTGAAGTGCTTGAGGAACACAGATGGTGCCCACTGTGAAAGGTGTACAGATGGGTTCTATGGGGATGCCATGACTGCCAAAAATTGCTGTGGTGAGTGCATGATCTGTGAGGTCAAGGTTATTATATGTGACCATATGAATCTCCATCTCCTTACATGTGTCAAAAGGACTCAGCCTGGAAGAGCCTTTATCTTGAATGTAGCTTGTGAACTAATGATGGGTCTCCTGTTGATCAGACAGATACACACCTGACACCCAGGTCCTCCCTTGTACTCTAGTGACTTGATTATTTGTGAAGGTCAGAGATCCAGGAAGCTCCCGTTCCATTGCAGTACTGAGGTTTTCTTACCAAGTTCTGGCTTTGCTGCTGGTGGCTGAAATGAGGGGAAAACAGTATTTAAAGCCACTACATACTGAGAGGGATGCTGTGAGGTTGCCAGAGGCAGGTGGGACTACAAGAGTAAAATGAAAAAGGGTGAGGCTCCGACCCTGAAACTGCTACAGCATGGTGGCAGAAAGTCCTAGTGGTCTGCACTTGAACTACCTGACCTCACCCCATCCCCTGCCCAGGCCCCTCCCACCCCACAGTGATTGGCTAAGTCCTGTTTGGAGCCTTGAAATGAAGGACCATGTAGAACTACTTGCTAAGTTGTTTTCATAGGCCTGAGAGGGCCTAGCTCTGGGGATGATGCTGCAGCCCTCAAATTTTTCTGAATTTTTATTTTGGCACAGACTTTAAGATGGAGTGAGTGAATCAAAATGGCAGTTTTGTATTTCAATAATTTTGTGTAAATGTTGGTCTTACTGTGACATTACAACGTAAAGACATAAGGGGGCACCAAAGATCCAGAAAAAATATTCTAGAAACATAGGTTAAGAGATTGAAAATGTTTTATAGCTCTGGGCCCCTCAACCTGATTCAGCAATATGGACACCTTGATTGAAATGACAGGGATTGAGAAGTCAGCGGATCAAATTCAGTAGAAAGATCCAGTAAGATGAATACTGAAATCTGCTCACTGAATTTAACATGTGAGGTGTTTAGAGACTTTGACCCCTGAGCAGACAAGAGGCAAGGAGGGGGCCACAAAGCAAGATCTGAGGGAGATGGACTTAGTAAGGGGAAGTGTGTGTGTGGTGTGTATGTACACCTGCCTGTGTCTTACATGATGGGGCACAGATAAGAATGGGTGTGTGCTGAGCCATCAGGTGTCACATATACAGTCAAGCTATGGGATAAGGGAGAAAGTTCATTTTCACGACTGAGGCCACAGGGCTTCATTTCCATGGATTTCATGCAAAGCTGTGGTGAAATGAAAGGCCAGAGAGAAGCCATGTTCTTGTTCAAGGTGGGCTTAGACAAGAGGCTGATTCCAGGCCTTCTCTCAGGTAACAAAGCCTCCAGCCCCAGGGTCACCATTCCTGGTGCTGTGGTTGCTTGGCAAACTGGCTGGACTTTCAGTTATTTATGAAGCAGACTAGTTCCATGATCTGGTGCACTGAACTTTTAATTTTTTCCCTTTGGGAATTAAAAGGATTTTACCATAACCATAGTCGAAACTAATCATTAATACGTCTTGCGTGTCCTAGCATGTGAGTGCCATGAAAACGGCTCCCTTTCTGGCGTATGCCATCTGGAGACTGGACTCTGTGACTGCAAACCTTATGTGACAGGACAGCAGTGTGACCAGTGCCTGGTAAGATACTTACTGGTCACTGCACGCCATTCAAGTACTTGCTGGTGATATGTAATTGACACCTCAGGTTGGGGTCATAGGAACTTGAATTTATGACAGTGGGGAAGAGCTTACTCCGTAGGCATGGCTCGTCCATGCTGTGCTTCCCTGTTTAGAGAACACAGTGTGCTAAGGAACAGAGGTGTGAACACCTGATGATTCTGTGGAACATCTTGTGCGTGACTTGGAAAACACTCCATTGTGTGTATTGGCTATTAACCCGTTTCTTTTCCTTCTTGTGACATAGCCTGGCTACTACGGGTTGGACACAGGGCTTGGCTCTGTGCCCTGTAACTGTAGTGCAGCGGGCTCCATGTCAGACAACTGCACAGATGAAGGCCAGTGTCACTGTGTACCAGGTGTAGCTGGGAAAAGGTGTGACAGGTGTTTACGCGGCTTCTATGTATATCAGGATGGTGGTTGTACACGTAAGCTCTCGAGTTCCTTAGCTGTTTTTTTGTCAGACTTTCCCTCTCACCTTCATTGACAGCAGATTAACTTCTGTGAAGTTCCTTTACTTTTCTTCATAGTAGGCCTTCATACCTGTTTTCTGTTTGTAATTCAGGTTGTAAGTGTGCACTTTGGTTCTGGCTCTGCCACACTCTAGCTGTCCAAACTTAGGTTAATTACTAACCTCACTTAGCCTTAGTTTCCTTATCTGTAAAACAAGGCCTTAATAGTGCATCTAGGTCTGCATCTAGGGGTTACTGTAAGGGTTTGGGGCCATATCCTTAACACAACAGTGGGCAGATAATAAGATCTCAGAGACGTAAGATCTCAGTGAAGTGAGATCTCAATGATGTGAGTGCCATCTGTTCTTCCAGCCATTGGGGGGGGTCTCTGTTCCACTTCTCATCCTCCGATTGCCTCTCCTCACGGGGGGACAACCACCTCCAGGAGCTAGGAGGTGGTCTCAGGAGTCATGAGGTCTCTTTTAATGATTGCAGTTCGTCATAAAAGAGGGATAACTTGTACTATCAACCATCACCCCTCTAATCACATCAGCCATCTAAATATGTACTGATGCTTGTTTTTTGTTTTAGCCTGTGACTGTGCTCATACGCAGAATAATTGTGACCCAGGATCTGGAGAGTGCCTCTGCCCTCCTCATACTCGGGGCCTGAAATGTGAGGACTGTGAGGAGGAGTACTGGGGCTGGGACCCAGAGCAAGGGTGCCAGGTGGGTGTTGCCACTGCACATTGACCTCAGAGTTCCTCCCCTGGACCAAATTTCCTTTTATCCAGGCTCTTGGTTTTAAGCAGTCAAATTGTGCCATTGCATTTGTTTAAAAGCAGTACATCTTGGAGGACTGGAGAGATGGCTCAGTGGTTAAGAGCCCTGACTGCTCTTGCAGATGACCTGGGTTTGGTTCCCAACACCCACATGGCAGCTAACGACTTTCTATAACTCCATTTCCAGAGAACCTGACGCCATCTTCTGCCCTTCACAGGCAGTGAATGCACATGGTGCACTTGCATGCAGGCAAAACACTTATACACATAAAATAAAAATTAATTAATTAAATCATTATAACTTGGAGCAGTAGTGGGGCATCCCGGTGGTCCCAGCTACCCCAGAGGCTGAGGCAAAGAGGACTGTTTGAGCCCAGTTCTAGACTAGCCTAGGGATGTAGCTGTGATCCATCACTAAATAAATAGTGGACTTAAAACAATTATAGGAAGAAATGCATCAGATTTGCATCTTTCAAATGCTTTACAGTGGATTTTCTTCAAGATCTTAGTTGTAAAATTCACTAGAAAATCAGAATAGATATTTAATGCCCTTTAAATACGTTCTGGCCTGTATGTTCCAGCAGAGTTGCAAATCAGTTTATTGGGGGATTCAGTCAAACCTGTGAGGACTCTGGTTTTCTGTAATTTTCTTAGGTTAGGCCCCACTGAGCTTGTGTTTTGAAGTGGTGGGGACATTACCTGGTGTCTAAAATAAGTTCTCTGAGCTGGTTGGCTCTCTTAGATTTAATTGAATTCAGTTTTGACACAATGTGCATAAGTATGTCACTAAGATGCATGCATGTCCTGCCACGCAGCCCTCCTGGCTCCGTGAAGGAACAGCGAGAGATTGGCTTGTTTGTGTTATTGTCCCATACTTAGTAGAGTCTGAGTTTGTGTACCTTATGAGGACATAAGTGCTGCCTTTTATCAGTTTTGTTTCTCTCTTTCAGGCCTGCAACTGCAGCCTTGTGGGCTCCACAGGTCCTCAGTGTGATGTACTGTCTGGCCAGTGCGAATGCAAGACTGGGTTTGGTGGGCGGAGCTGCGATCAATGCTCCTTGGGTTACAGAAGGTTTCCTGACTGTGTGCCTTGTGACTGTGACTTGAGGGGGACACTGGCAGACACCTGTAACCTGGTGCCTGGTCTTTGCAGCTGTGCAGAGGAAAGTGGTGTCTGCTCCTGCAAGGTATTTGTGGTCGACCCTCCTCATTCCTCATTTCCCAGGCCTGGACTTAATGTCTATTTAAGTTAGCAGCAAGCTTTTAAATGCGTCCTCAAACTCCTATGCCTGACTTTAAAGTCTCTATATGCTTTGCTAAAATGATGGAAGATTCTTAAAATAGAAGTTTTGACATTTATTACATGTCAGGTGATTGAACTGCTTTGAAAAATCACTGCTTTCTCATGTGTGTTCCAGTGGATGGAGTAGCCAGTCTGTCTTGAAGAAACAGTTAAAACATTTAGCAAGGCTTAGGGAAAATGAGATTTTTATAACTATGAAGTAATTGTGCTCTTGGTCAGGTAATTATTAATGTGCTGGACAAATAAAGGGAATTGTGGGTAATATTTTCTTACAAAGTAAGAGTTGAGTGTCAGTTGCAATCATATAGCTACCCAATGGTTTTCCCAGCATACTTTGTTACCAGGTCATTGGCACCTTTTCTAATCCTTTTTGCAACAATGGTGAGGTCTCAGCCTGAGGGTGATTTGTCTTGTTGATGATATAGGATTGTTGATTGTCTTGTTGATGACCAAGGAAGAAGTCATGTTTGTACCAGGGCCTGGAAACTTCCCTAGCTCTGTGTTTGCCATCACCTGGTCTGGTGTTCCACCTGACAGGAGAGTCATATTAGGAAGTCTATTTTTTCCAACTGCAAAGACAACTTTGACAGTCAGTCATGTCTGGGAATCTCTGAGTCTTTGAGAAAACTAATGCTTACAGAGCTTAGAGACATGGCATCAGGAAACTGAGCTTAGTGAGGCTTGTGAGTTAATGTGTTTTATTTCCTCTCCATGTGTATAGAAATTACATCTCCTTTTTTTCCTGGGCATTAATTTCTGTCGCCCCCTCCTGCCCCCCGCCTTGCTCAGGAGAATGTCGTGGGCCTCTGATGCAGTCAGTGTCAAGTGGGCACTTTTGCCTTGCATGCCGACAACCCCCTAGGGTGCAGCCCCTGCTTCTGCTCTGGATTGTCACAGCTCTGCTCAGAGTTGGAGGGTTACGTGAGGACTCCAGTAAGTCACATATATACAGTTATGAATGTTCTGTTACCCCTCTTGCCTTTGGGAGTCAGGTGGGCATAGGGAGACAGCAGAGATTTACATTCAGAGTTTCCCTAGCAACATCAGAAATTCTAGGATACTGATTTGGTTGGTACATGGATCCCAGTTCCACTTCTGTGCTCCAGAGAAGTAAATGGAGCCAAGCTGAAGGTGGACCTTCAGCTGCTCCATCAAAGGCTCTTCTTAGAAGAGATAACTACGACAAGGTATCCTTCCTGTGGTTGACAGTTGCCCAGGGCAGCAGTGACTTTCAGCTCATCTTTATCCAGATGTGCAACTTAAAGAAAAAGTCTTTGCTATCTTGGCTTTAGTCATGAAGATCAAATGCAGATGCTTAATACTGTGTGTGTGTGTGTGTGTGTGTGTGTGTGTGTGTGTGTTGGGGTGAGTGTATGCAGAAACCAGAGGAGGACACTAGGTATTCCTTTGAGATAAGGACTCTCAGTGAACCTAAAATTAGGCTAGCAGCAAGCAAGCCCCAGCCATACCCCTATCTGTGCCTTCTATGGCTCTAGGGTTACAAGTGCATGTGCAGTCACACCCACCCAATTTTTACACTGTTTCTGGGGATTTGAGCATGGGCCTCATGCTTGCACAGTAAGTGCTGTTACCCACTGAACCACCTCTGTGATGACTTTATTCTTAATCCAAAGTTCATCTTGCTCTGTTCTGGACCTAGGTAACACTGGCCTCCCATCAGACTCTTACTGCGTGTGGTTTCTCAGAGCAACCTTGAGGGCACAGTTGCAGGAGTGCATTTCCAGGCTCCTGACATCTTGCTGGACGCTGAGGTTGTCCGCCAGCATGTCCACGGGGAGCCATTTTACTGGCGGCTGCCAAAGCAGTTCAGGGAGACCAGGTGGGTGCACACTGGCCGAGAGCCAGCTTCCCTTTCTAGAAAGTGACAGACACAACTGAAAACAGCGTCCTACTTGTGTGAGACCATCACTAAAGGGAACATGGTAATTAAATTCCTCTTCCAAGTGAGGATGGAGATATCCTAAGCTTATAAAAATGCTTGCAAATGTTTGGATCTTCAAATGTTTTAATTTTCAAAGTCTTGTACAATATAATTCATGTTAGTTTTTTTCTTTCTTAAGCAATAATTCAACAAGTCAGTTCTGTAATTAGTAGTATCAGCTACATAGGAAGCTCAGAGCTAGATTTGCCCTAGGAAGTGCTTCCCAAGCAGGCACCCTACTATAAAAGAGTTACAAAAGGCCTTGATTGCATTTTTTGTTTACATAAATATTGTATGAATTCACCTGGGTCTTTATTATTTTACATCATCATTCTGGTGTTTTGAGGTTGATCTCACTATATTAGCCCAGGATTTTTAATCCTCCTGCCTCAGTTTCCCAAGTCCTGAGATAACCAACCTGTGGCACCATGCCAGGCTCACTTTGATCTTTATAATGAACAAATCCATCTCCAGGGCTCCTCTAGATAATAGATGATTTTGATTCAAAGAAGCCTGTGATAACGAGAACCATTACTGCACTGATTAGTTCTGATACCACTTTTGTTGATATCACAGAAGTAAAAGCTTTAACCAGTTTAATAGAATGAGACTGAACAGAATAGAAGGAAGCAAATTCCAGATGACACTTTTCACCCATTGGATGGAGTTTCATGTATGACATCTTTTATGTAATGACAGGCTTTTAATGAAAGGTCTTTATAAACCAAGAATGTGTCAGAGAAATAAAAAGAATTTGTCCTTTGTTAGCTCCTGGCCTATGGTGGCAAACTGTGGTACAGTGTGGCCTTCTATGCTGCCCATGCCACTGGCACCGCCAATTATGAGCCTCAAGTTCTTATCAAAGGAGGTCGGACCAGGAAGCATGTCATTTACATGGATGCACCTGCGCCAGACAACGAAGTGCGACAGGATCGAGAAGCGGGCATGAAAGAGGTGATGTGTGGCCTTTTTGTATACATTCCCTAAGGATGTGAACTTTGCTCTCAGGGTAATGAAAACTCAGAGTTGCTGATAAGACACAGAGCAAGACGCTCTGGGATCCAGCTTCAGTGGTTTTCCCAAGGTTTCTAAGGACTGTCCACATTCCGTGTCCTCAGGAAAGGCACAGTAGTAGTCTTCCCTGTAGCTTTGCTTTCCGTAGCTTCAGTTACTCGAGGTCAACTTAGGTCCAAAGATATTAAGTGGAAACAATTTCTAAGTTTTAAATTGTGTACTGTTCTTAGTATTATGATGAAATCTTATAGCTTTCTGCTCTGATCTGTCCAGGACCTGACTTATCGTTTTATGTATCATATCCTCCCTGTATGAGTTACTGGCCTGCCAGTCACTTAGTCATTACCTAGAGTTCTAGGCTATCAGTTCATCTGTCACAGTGTTACTTTCTTTGTGCTTAAGTTCATCTTTTTTTCTTGACAGTGGCCCCAAAGTGGAAGTGTAATAATGCTGGCAGTTTTATTACAGCATGTTGTTATAATTGCTCTGTTTAAGTATTAGTTAATTTTGCCAATCCCCATTGTACCTAATGTATAAGTTAAACTGTATTGTAGGTATCTATAAGAAAATGCATTAGGAGTTGGTACTACTACCTAAAGTTTCAGACATTCCCTGGGGATCTTGCAGTGTATTGCTGTGGGTGAGGGGGAGGTACTATAGTAGGCTTATCTTGGTTTAGTGGGGATTGCATCTTAGATCATTGGTACTCAGGCTTCCACTTGCATAGATACAGTGGCACAGATGTCATTGGACTTGTTAGAATGTGGAAAGTGTCCCTTCATTCAGAATGTGTTTGCTTCATGGTCACTGGCTGGCATTGTCTTGGACAGTGTGTATCTGTGGGTGGATAGGCCCACCCCACCCCCAATGCTGGCTACAGCAGATCTTTGTCAGTTAGGCTTATTGATATGCCCAGAACAGATATGCCCTGGTATCTGAAGACATTTATGAAAGAACTGTGTTCTCTTTAAGGCCATATGTCTGTGAGAATTTGTGCTCTGAATTTAATTGGACATCTTTCTCACCCATAGGAGTTTTGGAAATACTTTAACTCTGTTTCTGAAAAACATGTTACACACTTGGACTTTATGTCTGTTCTTAGCAATATTGAGTACATCCTCATCAAGGCATCGTATGGTCAAGAGCAAAGCAGGTACATGGAAACTTCTAGAATTTTCAGTTATTTTCTTATTTGATATAGAACTGAAAAGATTTGTTCCCTCACTCCCATTACCTAATCTTTACTAATAGGTGAATCTCTGTTCCTTATCCAAATTTGTTAAATATTAACATCATGGCAGACAAATGCTGCTCACTTCATGGTAGCCAAGAAATAGAGAGCAAGTGAGTCAGAGACTGGGAGCAAGCTATCTCCATCAACAGCATGCTCTCAGGGACCTCCTTCCTCCAACTAGGTCCTACCTCCTTCAGTACCATCACTAGAGGACTAAGTTATGAACACATGAGCCATTAGAGACATTTCTATCCAAACTGTCAGAGTGTAATTATGGAATGGAGTGCGTGAAGTACAAATTATCCCATCTGGCATGGTAATAAATGGCTAAAAGTAAATCCAACATTGTAGGATCTGAGCTAAAAATAAAATGCAAAAAGCTCTTTTCTACCCTTGGAAGATGCAGTATTTCTTTTTTTAAAAAATATTTTATTTATTATTTTTATTTTATGTGTGCGAGTGTATTGCCTGCATGTAGGTAAGTGCACCCATATCATGCAATGCCGTGCAGAGGTCAGAAGAGGGCTTTGGATTCTTTGGAGCTGGAGTTAAGGACAGTTCATAGCCGCCATGTGGGTGCTGCCAATTGAACCTGGGTTCTCTGCAAGTTACCGACAGTTGTTAGCTGCCATGTGGGTGCTGGGATTCAAACCCGGGTCTTCTGCAAGAACAACCAGTGTTCTTAACCACTGAGCCATTTCTGTTTTGTAACCATGTCGGAGGTATGACCACCTACCCATTTAATCCATAAGGAAACACATTAAGTCCCAGGAAAACCAGCACTCAGAGAGGCTCTAATATACCTTCTGTTGTGTATTCTTCAAGTTCTGCCATGTTGGCCATGGACCATCGCTGTGATCACAGACTGCACATGCTAGTGCACTTTGTTTATAATCATGAGTCAAACCACCCCAGACTACGAGGAACTCTCTGGCTTGGATGCAAATGTTATATCATATGCAGTATTTCCAGAAGTTTCTTAACCTGTTAGTGTTTCCTCTTACCCCTCTTACCCCTCTTCCACTATGATGGCACAGAATCACCAACATTTCCATGGAGGTTGGCTGGAAGGCTGCAGAGCCACCCTCTGAGGGAGAGGTGGCATACCTGTTAGAGCACTGCATCTGTCCTCCTGGCACAGCTGGATTCTCCTGTCAGGTAGGGAGCCTTCAGTGCTCATCTGCCTCCTGGTTTCAAGCTGAGGCGTGCTGTCAGCAGCAATCCCAAGTGAAGAATGGCACAGAAGTGTCTATGATGCCATTTGTATTGCTTTTTTAAATTTAAAATTTTTAAATTTTGTTTAAATGTCCATAAATACAGATTTATCATCTCAACCTATTTTTAAGTGTTGGTAGCCTCGTGCACACTCACACTGTTCTCTAGAACGTTTTTCTTGGCAAACTGAAACTGCACCGTCTCAACAACTCCAATTCCCTTTCTCCCCAACCCCTCTATCTGCATTCCATTTCTTTTTTATTTTTTATTATCTATCTATCTGTCTGTCTGTCTATCTATCTATCTATCTATCTATCTATCTATCTATCTATCTATCTGTCTGTCTGTCTATCTATCATCTACCTACCTATCATTCATTCATTTATTTTATTTATTTATTATTTATTTATTTAATTTATTGTCCTTTTGAGACAGGGTCTCCCTGTAGCCACAGCTGGCCTGGGTTCGCTATAGAGACCAGCCTGGCCTTGAACTCACAAAGATCCACCTGCCTCTACCTCCCAAGTACTGGGATTAAAGGCATGTGCCACCATGCCTGGTGTGCATTACATTTCTGACTCAGTGAGTTTTACCACTCTAGGCTCCCTATATGGACACGATGGATAGTATTTCTGTGTTTCCTTTTTACTTAACATAATGTCCTGAGGGTTCACCATGTCGTGGCATGAAGGCTGACTAATGCTGTCATTTGGATATGTTCGTTTGGCTTCTCCATTCTTCCGTGGGGACTTGGGTCCCATCCACCACTTTTTCTGTTATGACTATTGCTATGAACAGGGGCATGTGAAAAGTTCTTCAAGCTCCTGCAGTCGATTCATATGGGTTTACCAGAAGTAGAATTATTCTATCATATGGTAATTCAGCTTTTAAATCTGGGGGACTCTTCATATGGTTTTTCTTTCTTACAAGCAGTGCATTTTCTGTACATCTTTCCCAGCACTTAGTTTTTGCTGTTTTGATTGAAGACATGGGTTTTGTTGGGGATTGGAATCTTTTGGTTTTGTCTTTGGGTTTTTCTTGTTCTTTGTTAGTATTTTCATTGGTTGATAGGAATTTGGGGACAATGCTTCACTCTGCAGTCTATGCTGGCTTGAAACTCACTCTGTAGCCTAGGCTGGACCAGACCAGCATTCACAGCAGTCCTCCTGCTTCCGCTTCCTCAGCACTGGGACTGCAGGTCTAGGCTACTGTTCCCAGACATTACTGTGGTTGTCATGTGCATTTCCCTCATAAGAGTGATGTTGAGCTTCTCCTATGCTTGTTAGCTATTTGTATGTCTTCACTGAGAATATTCAGTTCTTTGCTCAGTTTTGAGTCAGATTGTTCATTTCTTGTCCTTTTTGGCTCCCTTCAGGACTGTGCCCCTGGGTACCACAGAGGGAAGCTCCCAGAAGGCAGTGGCAGGGGACCCCACCCTCTCCTTGCTCCTTGTGTGCCCTGCAGTTGTAACAACCACAGTGATGCCTGTGACCCGGAAACTGGACAGTGTCTGGTATACTTGCTTGGGTGGGTACTGGCCTAAGTTCACAGTCACTATGGCTTGAAAGGGGGCACCAGGACCAGGGAGACATTCCAGGAGGTCCTCTTAGCCCCATACCTACTTCCCACCATCCCCATCTGGAAGACAAAATGAACCTCACATCCTTAGGAGACTGTCAAGTATTTTCTCTGCATCTCCTTCAACAATGGATGCGTCCCACACTTTAGTGCTCAGTAACAAGTCCTCAGTTCTCTGTCTCTTTCCAGGACAGCTTGCCTTTCATTCTGTAGGATGTGGGCGGTCGGGAAGCTACAGTCCATTGTCTGTTAGGGGAAGTGTTTGCTGCTGGAACTGAAGCTCACAGTGACACATCAGGAGATCTGCTCTACCCTCTCCTCATCCAGTATTTACTCCTTGTCTGCCTCACACTGTGTTGGCAAAACAAGTACTTATCACTATTTTTTAAGAGATTGCCAATTTTGCTTCAAAGAGAGACTCGTTTGAGAAGCCACGTAGATTCTAATAAAATCTGTCTCCATCAGCTGAAATAGGAAAGACAATTTAGAAAAATACTTGACTATATTCTAATTGAAAAGAATCCACGAAGATAGTCTCTTAAATACTTTGAAAGATATCTTGCTACATCATCTCTTGCTGGCAAGAACAAAGGGCAGAGTGAGGGTTAGAGCCTGCTCAGGGGCTCCTGGTGTTGCTGTCTCTGCCTCAGCTGCATCAGAGGAGGAACAGGGGCTGAGCAAATAGTGAACAGCAATTTTTAAGTTAGAATTGGTTGCCAGCAATTGCTTGTACTTTTATCTTAAAAATTATGTATTCTTTTAATAGGAAGGTTATTGATTTAACTAATGACATACATTGTTTCTTAAGACTTATTTATCATTACTTTATTTGTATGCACATTTTGCCTACAAGTATGTGAGCTATGTATATGCAGTGCCCATGGAGGCCAGAAGAGAGCATTGGGTCCTCTGGAACTGGAATTACAGTTATGAGCTGCCCTGTGCATTCTGAGAACTAAACCCAGGTCCTCTGCAAGAGTATCAAGTGCTTTTAGCTGCTGTGCCATCTCTCCAACCACATGACATAAAATTTAACTAGAATTCACTTGGTTATTGTAAAACTCTGTTGGCAGTGCTTCTAAGATCAAGAGTTTCCTTCCTACATAGTCCATTTCCTAAATCACCCGCCCACTCTTGTCTGCCATTTTAGTTCCCTATATGCCATTGAGCCCCAAGTAGATGCTTTAGATTCACATCATACTTTTCTGAATCCTGACAACTTTGAGGGGTCCTATGACTCTGTGACTATTTTCCTTAACATACTAGTAGTTTCTAAGCTACAGTAGATGAATGCAGTCTTATGTTAAATGAAGGCCCAGAGCCGGAAAGGTTTCCAGGATTTCAGGAAATATGAAGAAAAACGGTCCATCTTCCTTAAGATTTTTAAAAAAATTTATCTGATAAGAAGCATGGTTGTACAGCTGTTTCCCGGTAAGAAGGGTGTCTAACCATCTCCCTTTGCTTCCTCTCTCTTTGAAATGTGGAAATCCAGAACTGCAGCAACCACACAGCTGGTGACCACTGTGAGGTGTGTGCTCCTGGCTACTATGGGAAGGTGATTGGTTTGCCTGGGGACTCCACCCCATGCACCTGTCCTCTCTGCCCCCCTGGCAGGTAAGCCTACACTGAGAAGCCTGGCACGCAGGCTCTGCATGATGGAGGGCTGCTGCCATTCCCAGCCTCACTTTGCAGGGCTCTGAGTGGTCTGTATTAATATTGTCCATGAGGACATAAGTATATATTCTTTTTTTTTTTGGCCTCAAATACTGTGTGATCTTTATTCCATGACAATCTTCAACTCAATACAAATTGCATCTTTACATAGGATGGTATTGTACAAAGAAGTAAAATGTTTTTGTAAAATCTGGTCAAAACACTGATTTCTCCCACCCCAGCCCACTTGAGCAAAGGGATAGAGAGGGTTAAGGGCAGGCAAGGTGGAACAGAGAGGAGCCTTCTATTGCTCTGACCAGCTCCTCTGAAGGGCCCCACAGCCAGGTGGTGCACTGGAGCCCTCCAACAGCATCTCTCCTGGAAACCGCCAACAAGGAAGGG